ACACCACACCACATCTCATCACATCTCATCACATCACCATACACGATACACCCTTGAATCTGCAGTTTTCCAAAGAACAACTTTACCTTGGACGCGTGTATTGCCTGGTCATTGCGGGATTCTTTCAGGATGTGTACATTGAACTCTTTAGGTATATCAGCTGAGGTAGGTATCTTGTATGTTTTTGGTCCAGTAGTGAGCAGACGACCATCTGGAGAGAAACGCAACTCTTCTATAGTATACATACCAGCACCCTGGATAAAGCCGCCCTCAATCTGCAAAACATTCGTGCAAAAACAGTTTACTTCTCGGCAGTTGCTCGGGATAACCTCGGTGCTGGAATTCCTAGTACTACGATTTCCAACCACCTCCACTTGTTTGATGTCAAATTACATGACTGTCACGCGGAAGTTTGGAATTGATAGGACAGTTTATCAGTTTACAATTTATCTTCAAAAGTATCGGTCACGCGCTTATATGACCTTTAAGAGAACTTCCAATTCAGGGTATGCGCGCGACTAAATCACAGATCCAAGTGGGATGTAGCTTGCTGGGTTTGTGGGGCGGAGGAAACTGGAGAATCCGAAGAAAAAAATAAGTGCTTGCTCGATTTTTTTGGGGGGATTTACGCAAACCCCCAACTATCTAATGGTCCGTCTCTTACAGGCCAAGGCTAAAATAAGACTGACAAAAAATCGACAATCCATAACAAGGCAAAACATTCTTCATTTTTTAAATGTTCAATAAAATTGATTGTTATATGCAAGACAATTCAACCTGTCCAATATCGATTGCTGGATTTAGACTCTTGCCAATATCCACCACTATATCAGCACGCAGGATCTGAAACAAAGTAGAATAAGTTCACAACGTCTTTAGCGTAATGGCTTCCAATAGACCAGCTTCAAGTTTCAAATTACAGTTGTGTTTCTTGATTACAGACTTATTTATACAGTGTTAGCCTCGAATCAGTGTTTAAAGTCCTAAAATATCTGAGTAGAAGGTGCTGCCTTTGCTCTAAAAATATCTGCATATGGTTAGACTTTCGTTCGACGTCAAATATAGAGGGCCACAAGTTTATCACCTGCGACTGTCACGTGTCCTCTCTAAATAAAATGGATTTATTTATAAATTTGATTGCGCGATTAATGCGAAATTAGAGACCTGTAGCACAATGCTACGTACCACAAAACTCAAGCTACAGTTCGACGTCAGGCGTTTTCTGTCAAACGTTCGCCATTTAGCAAGGCGTGGTAACGAAGTGGTTGCTGGAAGATCCGCCATATTAAATTTCATTTGTACTGAGTGTTTTTCGTGTTTCTGGGCCTGATCCCTAGTAATGAGCCGTTAACTAGCGGTTACCCTGATGCCAAAGCTCTCTAACAACGCTCGAATTACTTACAGTGTGATCGCCAGTCAGGCAGTCCACTTCGACTTCACAACAACAAGCTCCGTACACAAAGTACTTGAATGCTTGACCCAAGTTTGTCTTCCAGCTATAGGTGAAATGTCGAGATCTGAACCAGTAGAAAAGATAGATCAGGGCAAGACTCGCCTTTCAGAGTGAAGCTTGGTGAGCTTAGTTTGATGAACATAGTCTTAATTTAGCTTGTTATATGAAACAAAAAAGCTTACTGGTAATATCCAGTGGATGAAAGGCTCACGTGATCAGCATACGCAGCTTGGACCTGTTGGGGGTAGAAAAAGGTATCTTCACTATATATATATCGCTAGTTGAGAATGACTTTTTACTGTATTTTTCGAAAAACTCGTTTTGTATGTCGTTTCATTATCCCTTTACTTCCCATCCAATTTTCCCATCAATTTTTCACATCCATTTTTCTCATCTATTTATCCCATCTATTAATCTTACCTATTTATCCCATCCATTTATCCCATCCATTTTTCCCATCCGTTTTGCCATCCATTTTTGCCATCCATGTTTCCCATCCATTTTCCCATCCATTTTTCCTATCCATTTTTCCATCCATTTTCCCATCCATTTTCCCATCCATTTTTCCCATCCATTTTTCCCATCCATTTTTCCCATCCATTTTCCCATCCATTTTTCCCATCCATTTATCCCATCCATTTTTTCCATCCATTTTTCCCATCCATTTATCCCATCCATTTTTCCCATCCATCTTTCCTATCCATTTTTCCCATCCATTTTTTTCATCCATCTTTCCCATCCATTTTTCCTATCCATTTTTCCTATCCATTTTTCCTATCCATTTTTCCTATCCATTTTTCCCATTCACTTTTCTCATCTTACCCAATCTTCCCATTTACCGTCGGGATTGGTGACCTTGTACGGTTTAATTCTTTTGGACAGCTTGTCACATGCGTCCTTGAAAGAAAAGAAAAAAAAAACATCTAAAAAACTAGATTTGAAAATAAGATATAGAATTTCAAGAAATAAATGCAAAATAATTAAAAATGAATAAAATGCGAGACCTTAACAGCCATGCCATTGATGTCTGACGAATATGAACCCCCGGTGACAGATGAGTTGGGAACTGTGTCTGTACTTATTGCACAGTTAAACACTTTTGACACAGGAATCCCAAGGGCGTTAGCGGCGACCTTGGTAAGAAAAAAAACGACAACAAAACAAGAACAAAAATATAATTGTTGATTATAATACTTCTTTTAAAAAATAAATGGGATCAGGTCTGGCGGGGGTACTTCCTTCGTTGACGAAATGCGCAAGGGAATCTGTTAAGCCTTGTATGAGGGCGGGGGAAGGTAGTGATAAACCTTAAGTTCTATAGACCAAATTCAAAACTCGCACCCATGTGAGGCTCAAGTTGTGAACAAAGGAATCTGGCGTGATTCGTGACTTTTGAATCTCGCCAGATTATTTTGAGTCACACCAGATCCCTTTGTTCACGACTTAAGCCTCACATCGGTGCGAGTTTTGAATTTGGTCTATAGACTCGTACGAGGGTTGGGGGTGTGTATGAGGGGGGAGGGGG